AGGTTTTGTGCAAATATCATCCAACATGAATCCATAAATACATAAATAAAGATCTTAATTAGAAAAGAGAAGGTATGAATCCAATTGGGGTTGGTCAGTCTGGCTTCACTGTGAAGCATCTACCCTGACTCTTCCCAAATCATTGTCCCACTCTATAGAGTCTCAGTCCCTGCTTCTATTACTCATAGTCGCTGGAGTCCACGCTGCCTTGGGTCGAGATGCTGGTGGAGTCCTGATAGGCCAGCCAGTGTCGTGCCTGAGTGCATCTCCTCAGGCTCTCCAGGGACTGCTGGAAAGAGCGGCGTGCCTGGTCCTCGTCCAGAATCCCCTCTTCGTTTGCTTCTTCTGCAATTTTACTGCAGGTGAAGCGGCTCTCCTGCTGGCGGCCAGGACGACCATTCTCACACTCTGTGGCCTTTGGACTTCTCACAGGCTGGGGGAACTCCTCCATGGCCAAAGCCACCAGATGAGAAGGCACAATGTTGAGGCGGGTCAACTCCAGAGAGGCCATTGGTTCAGGAACAAAGGTCTGGTGGTGGTCACAAGGAAATCTTCTTCACCAACTGTTGATGGTCTGCAGAAAGTTCAAAGGCTTTCTGTTTTTCTACGTCAGTCGTGTACCAATTGATGCAGGAATCAAGGTTCGAATGTGGTACGAAGGAAACCTTGCAAATTCTTCTTCACCAGCTGCTGACGTGCTGCAGAAAGTCTGAACTCTTTCTCTTTTTCTCTGTCAAAAAGCGAGGCCTGTGTTGAGGAACAAGTGAGTCCCAAAGCTTGAAGTGTAGACAACCTTGCCTGGAAATGCGAAGCCCAGAAGAAGCGGACGAAATTACGCTCTAAATGTGTTCCACGCTGTAGTCTTCGCTGCTTCTTGTTCAGTATCCGTCTTGAGTGCTTGTAACCACCAGCCACCCCAGTGATGCTTTATATAGACCAGTGCTTCCCACTCACTTCTCCCTCAGAGCCTGCTCTCCTGCCAGCCCCTCCTTCCTCACAGCGCCTTTCGCACTTCCGACTTCCATTCCGATCTGCCGGAATCTCCCCACCCCTCCCCGGAAGCTGAGCGCGCATGCGGGGTGCAGCGGGCAGGGGGGCGGAGGGAGAACGTTCGGGATTTGGCAGGCGGGGATCATCACAGACAGGGATTAGCTTCATTGATCAGGAAGAGTCAGAGAAGATACAATAATGGCAAGCATGAATTTTGGGCTGGTGTCTGTTTTCAAGCCTCTTGTTTGTTAATGCTTGAGCATGAGAATGTGAAAGAGATGCAGTTTGAGCTTGTGTGGGTGGCTTGGGTGGGATGGAGCTGGAGCAAAAGATCTATTTCAGGGCCATGGCACCAGATGGCCCCTGGCTGGAGGGGAAAGAAGGACAGAGAGGGAGAGAGAAAAAGACAGAGACAGAGTGATAAATAGAGAGAAGGAGAGCGAGAGAAAGAGCAAGAAGAGGTGTGGAAAAGAAACACCATCATCCATGACCATACTCTGTGTGAAACCTGCAAATGAAAGCACAAGCCAGGGCTCCATAAGGTCAGAATATGTGTAATTATGGAGTGAAGGGGTGTGATTCATGCGTAAGGAAAACCATATGGCTCAGCTAGGGAAAAGGGGTTAAAGCGACAAGCAGACCATAAGCACCTATTCTGCTGATCAGAGCGAGTCAAAGGTGTAGTATTACAAAGCAGGTCTTTAAATGCTGATTTCAACAGCTTTTTAAGCTCAATAGCCCTTGGGCCAACAGAAACCTGGAGGAGTTTTTTTCTCCTGGATATTCAGACCTGTGCTGCGGGTCTTGCTATGAAAGTAAGAGATGAATTATTATTTAATTTCTATAAATATTACACGTTTGTGATGAATCATCACTATTAGAGCCTTCAGTTTGGGCAATAAACACAAAAGCTGAAACAAAAAATTACGCAGCTCTACAACAATGTTAAATTCTGCTAGCACCCCTATGAGGTTTCTAATAGTATGTGAGTACTAAGCTAATGATGGTGTATATGAACATTTTCTTCTAGATTTGAAGCTTGTACAAGACATTCCATAAGTTATATTTGACATTTGTAACAGACATGATTACATTTTACCTTATATGTGGCACTCATGAGTGACTCAGTAAAGACTCCTGGTATAGAGCTGCTGCTGTTTTTCATCTCTAATAACTGATTGAAACCTGGTTAGACTACAGCACATATTCAGTCAGTGATCTATGTAGGACTTTCAGGAGGCCTCGAGTGAAGTCCTTTCTCATACAATTGGCTCCATTCATTGTAAATCAAAATGTGATAGTTTGATATCACTGTGACTTCTTATGTGTCCAAAGGAATGTGGAAACTTGACCATCACACCTATGTAAGCTTTCCAAAACCATGGCTGTTAATCAGGAGTTGCCCCCCTTTGTGGCTATAACAGCCTCCACTCTTCTGGGAAGGTTTGCACAAGACTTTGGAGTGTGTCTGTGGAAGTTTGTGCCCACTCAGTCACTCAGTATTAATTTAAAATCATAAGTTAATGACACAGGTCAAATAAAAAAAAATACCAAGAAACATAGTTTTAATTAAATGTTAAGTCAAAGAGATACATTTTTTTTAAGGTTTCTTAAAAGTGAGCTGTCTAATAGAAGGTGAAATTGAGTTGCACAGTTTAGAGGCATAATAATTAAAAGAGTCTCTCCATGTTTGTATTTTACGGAAGGGTTTGCAGAAGGCCAGTATCTTCAGATCTAAGATCACATGCTGGAACAGACAAACATTCTGCGATGTAATCAGGAGCTAGGTCACTTAAAGCCTTAAAAACTAGTAGCAGTCTCTGTTTTGTTCGGTTCTGTGCTGCTGCATTTTGTACGAGTTGTAAGGGATGCATTGTTTTCTTAGGAAGCCTATTAAGACCAGCATTACAGTGATCAACTTTGCTTGTAACAAATGCATGAACAAGCTTCTCTGCATCGCTTTGAGATGGAAAAGGCAGAACTTTAGCAATATTTCTGAAATGATAGAAAGCTATTTTAGAGACTGCATTTACATGCAGGACAAAACAGAGTTTAGAGTCTAGGATCACACCCAGGTCTCCTACTTCAGGGTTGGTACATGAAGCTAAAGAGCCAAGCTTCTCGTAAAGCAGTTTTCTTGTCTTAGTAGAGAAAAGTGTAGCTAGTAAAGACAGTGAACAGTCATCACTTCAGAGATCATGTTTCCACTGCTCCAGAGTCCAGTGGTGCTGTGCTTGCGCACAGGCTTGTGTGCAGCTGCTCGGCCAAGGAAACCCATTACATGAAACTCCTGAAGCACAGTTCTCACAGTGATGTTGCTTGCAGAGGCAGTTTAGTAAACTCTTTAGTGACGGATGTAACAGAGGACAGACAATTTTTTTTAATGCTCTATGTGCTTCATCACTCTGTGGCTCTGCTCTATGCGTTTGCATGGTCTACCACTTTGTGGCTGAGATGTTATTGATCCTAGATGCTTCCATTTCACAATAACAGCACTTCGGGCAGATAAAGCAGGGAAGAAATTTTACCAAATAACTTGTGGCAAAGGCAGCATCCTGTGAGTTTAAAGTCACTGAACTCTTCAGTACGAGCCATTCTACTTCCTATAATTGTCTATGGAGATAGCATGGCTATGTGCTTGATTTTATACACCTGTTAGCAATGTGCGTGACAAGCACCTGAACTCAATCTTTAGGAACCACACAGTTTTGGCCATATAGTGTACTTACCGATAGGGCTGTTGTCAAGACCACCCTCATCAAGTCCAAGACGAGACTATGACTAGTTGACATTGAGTCAAGACTGTCTAAAGTGGGCCGTGACAAAGTTAAGACTGAGTCCCAAAAAAATGGAGTTGTCTAGTTTACAACTGCTTCCAGTAGAATGAAATGACACACAAGATACAATGATTAAGTTTTGAGTTTCTTGAGTATGCGTCACTGTTCATTGGTGACAGCAGTACTTTTGTTTGTTTGTTTTAAGGGTAGTTGGAGACCATCTATTTTTTAAAAATGCCTTTTAGGCCAAAATCTAATATCAAAACTATTATGAAAGTGTCTTAGTCATCAGGATTCAGCATTCATAATCATTTCATGTTATAACTTTGTGTGAGTGAGCTTTTAGAGCCATTAGATACTTTAGACGTCTGGTTCCTATCACCACCACTGTGAACCATTCTGACTCATTATTGTTTTCCAAAATTGTGCATATCACCTCAAACCACTCTGAATTACTTTATATCTCAAGCATTTAATTACATTTTTAATTTTAATTACATAGATTTTTGAAAAGGGGAATGCCAGTGATTAAGTCATCATTTGTTAGGCACACTAGCCCGGTTGCAACATTGCAAAACTAAAGAAACTACAGCCACCAAGCATGTCTTGGCATTCACTACATGTCAAGTGAGAGGAGAATTTTAGCCAGGTGCTTGAGAGGCCATTACGCATTACACTGTGGTTTTGAGAGGAACTTTTACCACTTTAACATTGGCAGTCTAAACCCACCATGTAGGTGCTCATTACTCAGTGGTGCTGGAGCCGGTATTCAGCTCAGCCTACTGACAGCAGCAGGTACTTGTTCCATCACAACACCATACTAGGCCGATGCATTGTGGTGCAGAGCTGTAACTAATTCCCTTAGACACTGTGGACTTCAAAGCGGATGGTTCTCAACCCAAGTCCAGAGTGACCCCTTTACCCAGTTTTAGCATTTTCCTTCCTCCAAAATGACTGATTCAGCTCATCACAGGCTCGTTAATTAGTGAATGAGTTGAATCAGGGAAAATACGAAATCGTTGACTGCTATGAGCATTTTTGGACCTCATTTTGGCAACACTGCTGTCCCATCTGCTATCCTCTCTGACACAGATCTGTCCCTCTGCTCTCTCAAGCAGTAAGCCAGGCACGTTAGTCAACTGTGCGCTCTTCCCTCATATTCGTATTCCTGTGTGTCATCTTTCAGTTCTGATCTCTGCTGTAAAGAATACAAGACTCACACCAGGCAACGGCTATGAGAAAGCATTCCGTTTATTGTTGTAAGCCAAGTAAGTCTGAAATTCACATAACAGACATCAGATCATGCTTCATTTCATCCACTGACTGCTCAAGTGCTGTGGTTGTTCTCACTGCCCAATCCAATCGAATGCACTGGGAACACAAAATGGGCTGAAAATAAATGCATTTTTATAACAAATCTGGCACTACCTGGTTGACAGGAAGCATTGTTTTGGGGAATGTACTATACTAGCAAAAACAACTGTGCTCTTATTCAAACCTACTCACCGAATTTAACTTACCCCCCTCACCTCACTGCATTAGTAGTACCGTCATCAGACAGATACACTACACTAATAATCACATACACAATAAACCTGCCACCCTGTCTTAGTGCAATGCAAATTCATCCCATATGAAGTTCGAATAAATGCCCATAAGAGTTTACAGGGCACTTGTGCATACAGCCAATGGAATCTGTGATGCATTCTAAATGCAGGACATGCAGTTCATAAAAAACTGCTGTCAATCTAAGAACAGAAATATGGACCAAAGTCACTGAAATTAAACATACAGTAAACACTTTTAAAAAGTTGATTCAAAGGACCCTTTTTTAGCTTTGGAATATTATCTATAGCTGAGGTCTTCAAAAAACCAGACCTTGAATCCAGATTCAGTAATAAATGTACACTAGGCGGCCAACCAGGTACATCAACAGGTTCAATTAACTACCAGTGATTACAAAATCCAAGACGAGAAACTGGATTTCAGGTCTGGATTTGAAGACCTCTGATCTACAGCGTTCACAGAAAAGTCACTGGAGGACAAGATGAATTACAGGTTTGTACAGCTATGCGGTATTGTGCAAAAGTCAGACACCACCGTTCATTTATTTCATTTTCAGTCAAGGACACTATTAAGTACAAGTTATTTATTTTTCAGAAGGCATTTCTGAGGAGGTTAGATATAAAACAAGAAGCAGAAAATGCAACCAACGTCTAAGACTGAACTTGAGGTGTGGAATCATTTCCATGCAGATTTGATTGAAGACCTCAAAGCAAGTCTCCCGAAAAGAATGGAAGTCAAAGGGTGAAAGAATTGATATATTTAGTAGTTGAGGCTTGTACTCAATGAGTGTGTTTACATGAATTTCATAATCTGATTGTCAGTAATCTGATCAACATGTTTACATGCACTTGGGTAATCAGATAATAGGAAAACTCCAGGTCTTTGTGAGTCAAACAGTAATCAGATTTCTGCTTTGCAACCAACCAATAAACTCACCAAAGAAAACGTGACATAAACGTAATGTAAAACTCAAACTTCATTTATAAACACTGCACCACTTTACCTGAAAATATGAACAGGCATCATCTAGAAGATGTAGTTGGTTTCAGCATTGCTTCAAAAGTGTTTTGCTGCTGTCTCTCGGCAATGCTGCTAGCTTAGTTCCAGAGCCGCGGTCTGTTTTCGCACATGCGCAGACTGAGAAATCCGAAAGAAATCAGAGTAAGAGTTTACATGCACTGAGAAATCTGATTACTGAGCTAAAATCCAGCTCTCTTTATCGGATTTCTTAACTCTAATTTCTAGATCATACTTCGATCTAAAAAATCAGAGTGTGCTGTTTACATGACTACTTGAATAATCAGATAACTGCAGAAATCAGATTATGATCGGATTATTGAGTTCACGTAAACGCACTCAATGACTGGATGGTCTCTGACTTTTGCACAGTACTGTACTTCACGTTACGTTTTACCCACATCTAGGACACTCATGAAAATAAAACTTATCAGGGAACCAAACTAGAATATAAAGGGCAATTCCCTGAATTTAAACCTGAATCTAGGTCAGGGTCTTTAGACTCAGTTCTGCAGCATAGGGGTTTCCCAGCTGCAGCACACCTAATCCACGGAGTACCAGCATTGTAATTTACTCCTAAATGAGACCTCATTTGTGTCCAGAAAATAAAGCTTCATGCTTAATATGCAAGCATTAACGTTAATGCTAAGAAGTGCTAAGAAGTAGAAGGACAAACTGTAAAGAGACCTGCAGAACATTACAGACACTCATTCGCTAATGTTCTTCTATTAGCAAAAGTTAAAAATGTATCACTAAATCCGGCAAATTTAGATTCTGTTAGCACTGAACTGATGGTGACTTCTCTGCAGGACTGTAGTAAATTCAAGTACAGATTGAAACTATCACAAATGAGCAATCCTATTACGAGCAGTGTAGTGGGACTGTGAAAGGAAAAGGAGTTTTAAGGAATTAGAGGTTGGTCCATCACTGTTTTCTTCTTCTCCATCTATCCGTCCAGCCATCCTCTTCTTCCACCTTTTCTAACCCTGCTTCTGTTTCTTCAAGAAACGCGCACGATGAGAGAGGCCCATGTTCATGAGGACCTTGGTAAGCAGTCTTGCAGGGAGCAGAGCAGAGGTCGCCCAACCCTACGGCAATAAAAACAATTACCAGGTTAAAACAGTGCTGGCTTTGAACTAGGGTTAAATGACACGGACAAAATACTTTAATTTAGATTATATTTGAAGCAATAATAATGATTTTATAAAATGCCAGTCAACATGAAATATAAGAAAATACACATTTTTTCAGAAATTTATCAATATTAAATCATAATCGACATTAACAAGTATTCCACCAAGAAATGTAGTCCCTTTAGAGTATGGTATTGTTGCCAAGCAACCATGTACTGCTGAATGAGAAGGTTGCGTCGTCCATCACTGTATACTGTGGTCATTTCATGAATTTTTTATCGTATAACAATGAACATCTGATAACACAGCACTGTTTAATGCAAAAACTTCTGCTTTATAAGTACTTTTTTTGTCACCATTTACCACCGCGTGTCTTATTTAGCACCAATCCAGTGGTGCCGCTCTTCTTGTGCTGGGGCTGAATCTCACAAGGCTCCCTGCTTCCTACATACTGCACTACGTAGAAATTTAAATACTGGATCCTGCAGCCCAACAGTGCAAAATACAGCTAAGAAATAGTCATTTGGGACTCCGACACATCCATACTCGATAAATGATGCACTACTTGGCTGTAGAGGCCAGAATTTCTAAACTTTCATAGTTAGCACACCATTCAGGGAGTACGGATTCGTTTGGGACCCTGGATTTGATGCTACTTCTGACTGAAACACGAACTTTTGAAGCCTGTAATTCATTCAAGTGACATTTTTAGACTTTTATACTGCCGTTTTACAGTTAATCATACCGTAAGTACTTTAAGCCTGTGAAATAAATGATGAAGTTGTTTAGGCTGTTGGCGTCACCTTTTAGCCTGTTAGCTAGCTGACCAGCCTAATTCTAGTTAAGAACATAAGTCGTCAGCCCCTCAGTTTAAACAAAAAACGGGTTCTTACTTCACTGATATACTCGGTGGTCCATAACAGATTTTAGGTGCCTATTTATGTAATTAAGATATGCTATGCAATATATTCAAAATCCATTAGTCAACCAAAAATGATATGTAGCCAGTCTTCAAGCTCACCCTACAGCACTAAAGGATGAAAATGAGTCTGTAATTTTAACCAAAATTACTGACTTTCATTGGGCTACATAAATACCTTGATTTATCAAAATACCCATAGAAACACTCATCTGGTCATGTGATTGGTCAATATGATGACAAGCACAAAAAAAATTGCTTAGAGTTCTCATCTGCATATTGCAGTCTTCTGTGATATCAGTATTGCAAAGGCCAATATTGCGCTAATGGATAAAAACATTATTGTGCAGCCCTGTTCTGAACTCACCATCAAACAACCAATCACAATGCAAACAAACTCAGGTAACATACAAACATTTATCCATCTACACATTGAAACACCAATGAACTCGATGAGAGGGCTAAAATAGGAAAGGGTCAAACTCCTGAAAAAAACAAAAGCTAATAATCCACTTTAATCCACTTCCTCACGTTACAAGCAAAGTCTATTGATCTATATGTCCTAGATTTGAGCACAGCTGGTCAATACAGGACACAACAGGGTCAGCCAGCCAGGAAATGTCTCGCATTTCCTTGTAAGTTCAGCAAATGCTTTGGAGAAATGCTTTTGAGCGACCTTGTGAAAGTCAGGTCAAGTTCTTACCATGATGGCGTGCGGCAGGTATCCATTAGTCTGGCTCTGAAGACCCACAGTGTTCAGCTGGGCCGCTACATAGCGCTCAGGAGTGGGAATGTCCAGAGAGGCTCTTTTGATCTTGCTCAGCTTGGTCGTCACATAAAAGGGCAGCACGCTCTAGAAAAGGTGGACAATTTACCTTAAATAAAATGAACTATGATGCAGTTCCAGATTCTATTCAGATACCAAAGGCTACAGTTAACATCAAACGAACAGTTCTTTGTTCTCAGACTGACTGGCCACCCTATTGTCATCCTGCTTCTCTCTGCAACAGTTTTCTTTCACTACTTCTCTTACTTTCTCTTACCTGGATGATGACGCCTTTGCTCTTGTACTCAGCATCAAGTCCACGAGAGAAGAAGTCCACAAAAGCCTGTTGGGAGGCAATTGAAAGCACTGATGGTCATTGGATTCTGCACATTTCAACCTAAATAAACCCCATCCTTCAAGGACAAGCACAGGTACACTGTATCCACTGCTGAAACAGAGCGATGTGAAAAGTGTTTAGAGCCCTGCAAATGCTTAACACTTAGAATCAGTTACCACCAGCAATAATAAAAGTATGGTGCTATTTGATCAATTATTTCTCACTCATAGCTCACTGAAGCAAGCAGAGAAATTCTGTTGGAAGTGCAGACTCTACTTTCAATTTACACCATATTTCTGTTTGGAAGTAGAGGAAGAGAACATTTATTAGGATTTGAATTAAGATTGCGTCAAAATTTTGGCCACAAAAAATTTGCATCCTTCATACAACTCATAATAAAATATCTAGAAAAAGAAAAATGGTTGAGAATTAGAGTGGCCTACAATGAAGTGATAAAACCTGACAAAGTTACAAGACTTTACAAATGATTTTCATGGTAATGAAAATTAGAAACAGCAATTAAAAACACTGTTTCTTTCACTCTCCTGACAGAAGCTAGAACCATTTCACAGATTGTATGAGGGACATCAGACAAGTGATTTATTCACGCTGGGTATCAAGTCAGGATATAACACTAGGGGTGTGCATTTTGACAAATTTTGATATTTGACTACCTGCTATGGGGTCATCAGACAAGTTTATTTTGTTTATTTTTCAGATCCCCATTAGCCGCTATCATGATAGTCGCTATTCTTCCTGGGGTCCAGCAGACACATCATACATTACAAAATAGTGCAATAACAATCAATACAAGTCATACAAAACATGGGTAAAAAACAAAAGACAAACAAAAAAGAAAGAGAGAGAAAACAAAAACACATGAAAAATGGAAAATAACAGAATTTAAAACATAAAAACAGTAAAAAGATGATAGAAGACAGAAAAACATACTGAAAGAAACAAAGTGATTTATTCATGCTGGGTATCAAGTGAGGATAAAACAGTAGGGGTGTGCATTTGATTTGATATTTAACTACCCGCAAGAGTTTATAAACGGATATCCAGTTAACAGCAGATAAGGAACATAACGTCCAATAAAATACTTCGGCTGACATTAACACAGAGCTGGAGCTGGAGGCCTGCTCTTTTAGAGGACAGCACTGGTGTTAAGAGGCTAAAATATCTGTGGCAAAATATTTAGCAGCAAGCAGTGGAACACATTCGAAAACGTTTATTATTCAGTAAAAGCCGAGGGAAATCGGTAGTTATCGTGTTTGGATGAGTAACGCAGCCCGACTCCCTGGATGAGAGCTAAAACTACACCTAACTGGTACAACACTGGATGCAGCTGAGGACTCATATTAGATGAGGTACAAAATGATCACTGGAGAGATAGAGATATATATATATATATATATATATATATATATATACACACACACACACACACACACACACATATTATATATATATATATATATATATATATATATATATATATATATATATACACACACACACACACACACACACACACACACACATATATATTATATATATATATATATATATATATATATATATATTTTTTTTTATTATTATTATTATTCTATTTTAAAACGTTAACATTAGTATTTATCTGGACAGTACCTTTTTTCCCTGACAGTGTAGTTTTATGTTGAATGTCTTTGTTCACTGTCAGCTCAGTGTTTTCCTACTGAAAAGACTGACTGACAATAATACGTGTTTTTTCCCCCCATATACCTGGAGTTTTTTTTTTGTTTTCAAAACTGTTTAGTGTCCTGAATTTCAGTTTCGGTCGAAAAGTTTTCATTTCAGTGAAATTCACTAATTCTCATTTATTAAAAGGCTATTGCTCTGTGAACAAATTTCCTTTGCAGAAGGAAAAATTCCATGTTAGTTATTTCTTGACCTCAAAATAAATGGAGAATAGTCATGCAGACTTCAACCTGTTGAGGAATGTGAATGAAATGCAAATGTAATTCACTGCATAACACACTACGCCATTAGGTACATTCATTTGAATAGTACAGCAAAACAAAGGCAGTAACTCTTGATCTCTGAGGGCTTAAAAAGCTTTAGATACAAAATCATAAAAGCTAATGCAAGTTCCTGCCATCAAGATTGCCTCAGAAATGTACTCTGTAGTTGGCCAAATCAAGCCAGCAGTGAATTGGAGGTCATGTGACTTGGTGGCTTTGAGATGAAAAAAGTGAAAAGCAGGCTTAGTGAAAAGGGGAGGACGCCTTTAAATACAAAAAAAGCCCAAACTCTGGTTTATTCTGATCCATTTCTATTTTAACCATTATTCACTTCCTCATCCTCAGTCATCAAGATTAAATCCCAGCGTTCACCCACTGGACTGGACACGCTGCCATTGTTGAGTGTGAAGCATGAATGCGAGAGATCGCCAGGGTGCGAACTTCGTTCACAAAAGGAACGAGTGAGACAGCTTTGCTGACATCACATGTTGCGTATGTGTTGCTAAGATACAGCATGAAGAGACAGCGTGGATCACCGTAGTGTTTGACTACTGCAGTCTTTATACAGCGAGTCCTGAGCAGAGCTACAGCCACCTAGGGTTTAAAGCTGCCTTTAGGGCTGCCTACTTTTCATATATTCACATAACAAGCCATGAAGTGTTGCTTATTTCCTTCGCCAAGGGGTCTACAGGACCTCAAGTTTCAAAGGGTCAGATAGAGGGCTTTAGAAAGATTACACCCTCGCTCCGATTCAGTGAGTTCTGAATCACAGACTTTAACGGGGCCTTAAATCTGGACCACAGGCCAGATATATCACCACTCCTTAACTCTGTGCTGAATAAAATATAACGATCTTTTCCAAATTTATCGCAACATTTGATGATGATTATTAAATTTAAATGCTGCTTTTCTATGGTAAAGGAAAGTCTTACAAACCCGACTGGACTGTTTGGCTCTGTTTTATTCTCTTAAGGCCTCTAAAGACAGAGCGCGATTTATTTGTGTGATTTATCCAGACGTCAATAAATGAATTAGAGCACATGTATAACTTCTAATGTTGGGATGGGCAGTTCAGTCAAATGTGATATTCAAATATTTAATACATTATTTGGAATATATTCCAATAAAACCCCTACACCCACCATAAAAAAATACAGGGAACAGGCTACCCCACCAGACATGCCAGGAGACAGTGACCAGAGACAGTGATGCCACTCAGCATCTTATTATCACTGTACTGTACATGGATAAAAAGGTCTGACCCAGTATGAGTCCCAGGCTACACTGCCCTCTGGTGGAATACAGAGTTCAGACATCTCATGATTCTTGCATAAATGTATGTCAGAAACAAGCTTATTTGCATATTAAAATTCACTTTCATAACTATTAGATTATTCAAACATTCTGAATCACCCCTGGACAATGTTTTGCACACCAAATGCAACTTTTCAGATGGCAAAAATGTGACAATTTGTTCACCCTGATTTTGTGAACTTTAGTCTACAACATGAATTTACTGACCAATACCTGTGGCGTTGTTATGGCGACAATCAAAATGACGTACTGGCTGTGTCCCATCAACTAGAACACTTGTGAAAAGTATTGGTGAAAAGTACTAGTTTACTCTCTGCTTTATCCCATTAATGGCACTAGCATCTTCGAAAGCAGCTCTAAAGCAGTTCAAAGTGTGTTATGGTCATCTGAGCTGTACATTAGAGCTCAAAGTTTCATCTACTGAACCTGCTGTCCTTTTTCTGTTCCATAATGGAAAGCAGCCTGCCAAAAGTCACTGTTCGCCTGTTTGTGAGAAGCAAAGGATGTATTTTTGCAGTTGAAGACATTCTGCCTGTTTGTTCAATTTTTGCCGCAATGTGAAGAACTCGGCGAAATATCCGGGTGTGGATGATTTTGATGTGAAAAAAAAAAAATCTTGCCCTAGTGTCATTTCTTCACGCCTTACACACTATCGCAGCCATTAACTACACAAAAACTGATTTACAGAAAGGAAACTTCATATTATTGAAGTTTTAACTTTTCTTATAAAGCAGTCAGAATCACCTAGTACTACAGTCACTGCTAGTGTGGGGTCTCTTGACAAAGCAGAGAATGTAACTAATCTCAGACACCCTCTATTCTGCACAGTGTCATGTTTTCCCTGCTGTAATAAGTCTGATTTAATTCAAGAAGGGTCTCATAATTAGCCAATAAACTGAGCTGAATTAGCATTTTAGAAGATGTTTTACAGTGCAAAGCTGTGGACCCCCAGGACTCCACACTGACTTCCTGGTTGGTTATGCTGACAGATGTTTTCATGGCTTTACTTTTCCACCAAACCTGAAAAGTAGACCCTGACTGATAAAAACAGTTTTGTCTCAGTTATCAATTTTGAAATTGATAATTTAAAACACTGAAAACTGATTCAATTTAATAAACAAACTCCAACAGTTTTGGTAAAACAGGGATTTACTGGCCGTGAAATGACTGTCAGTCGTCAGCCGAGTTGCTAAATGTGATTGTCAGGTCTCAACTGTCAAATTTCTCAAACTCAGTCTTCAAAAATATAAATACTGCAACACAAGGATGGAATTTCCCAGAAATCTGTGCAGTTTTGATGTTTATTTATTTAAAATCTCTAATTTTTCATCAGTTCTGTTCACATAAAGGTTTTCATGACATATCACACTGAAGGTGAGGATTAGGTGCATTTTATCCATCTATGCTATTTAAACCATGATTGTGTTTATATGTTCAAGTTTACCAGTTGAGCCCACTAGTTTAGCATATGACAGCGGTCAGCTTAGCAGCCTCTGGCTTGCATAAGAGAATAACACCATTAACATCCTCAGAAATTAGTGACTCTCCTTATAAGAGAGGTTTCTCTTTATTGTAGCCTAGTACAAACAAAACAACGTATAAATGTTGGCACTTCATCAGGAGTATGTTCACAAATGCCAACTCAAATGGCAGAAACTTATTATTAGCTCATCTTCTCAGTCAAGCCATAATAAAAAACAAACAGATGAATGACGTTTTGAAGTCAACTTGAAATCAAACGTTTTTACCTCGTAGTTCATGTCCCTGGTGATATTAAGCACAGTTCATAAAAATATTAAAAAATAGACACAAAGTTCCATCTTTAATTAAAATGTAATGACTACACTTTCTGATCTTTGATTACATCACACTGCACCAGCCGGCAAAAAAAAATAATATTAACAAATAATGTCACGACCCAGTTTTATTACTAAGCTCTGTATTTACTGTATTACTTAGGTTTTAATGAAAAGTAAGTGTTTTTTAAACATTAGTCGAAATGTAACTTCTACTGTCTTCACTACTGCAAGCTGAGTCTCCTACAGCAAAGGTGTGGGAGTTGAGTTTACATCAGTACTACTAAGCGTTTCAGAGGCAGGCTCCCACAGGATGTGGGAAATTTTATTATTTCATTATTTTGACTGTTCGATTGATTACATACGCCATCTCCCTTTCCAAATTTTTAAAGTATTACTTTTTTTTTGAAGCCTGTGTTTGAGAACGCCAAGTAAATAAATGAAACGTTCATTAACGGGGTGTTTGTTATAAATGAACATGTCATCACAGTATTAATTACACCTAAACAATAAAAGTAGTGCAAAGTTTTTCCTTTTTAATAATAACCTCTGGGACAATTAATCATTACCTGCATTTTATGACTGAGCATCAGAACGAGGGAACTAAAGGTGGAATGAGAGTGGCGGCACTTACCTTAGAGGACGAGTAGAGAGTGAGGAGAGGAACAGGATACATGCCACTCGCAGAGGCAATGTTCAAGATCACGCCTTTAGACCTGAAATGGGACATAGCAGAGGTCTGTAAAGACAATGCGAATCAAAAAAATCCCATTTATGCACAGTCGTACACCGTTAGAAATAAAGGTTCTGTGTTGGTACAATTTTTGTTTACCAAGGTACAAACAACGTAAATGTTCCCTCAAAAGGTACAACAGTGGTTTTAAGGTGCAACTGTGCACCTTGAATAAGTTTTTCCAGGTCAAAAGTACAGATTTGTACCTTTTTCATAATCTAATGTTTTAAAACAGAGCAATAAAATAAAAGTCTGGAGGCGAGACGGGGTGTGGAGTCAATACAGCTTAGGAAATATAATTTCAGTGGATTATGGTTCAGTTATGTTCCCTGACTAAAGGGTCCCACCCCAGTGACAAGAGGGGTACAGTCCCAGTGGCAGTTTCATACCCTTACTTCTGAGATTGTAGGTAAAATTTTGAACACCCTGGTCAAATTACATGTTTTGTTGATTTTCTAACCGAAAATAAGTTTAAGAAATAACATTTTCTACTGAAAACACATTTAAATATGGCATTTTTTGCAATGTTTTGTGCACATTTTCCACTTATTTGCAGAGTTGAACACAATGGAAAAAACAAAACATAAAACGTGCCACAACTTTAACACGGGGCATATTTTGTGTTTTGTTTTTTCAAATAAACAGTGTTTGTGTATTAAAATGTGCAGAAGTGTCTATAGAGGACGTTGTAACTTATTTTCACCAAAATCAACAAAACATGTCATTTGACCAGGAGTGTTCAAACATTTGCATACAACTATTTCTTTATGTTTTGCCCACTGATAGTTGCCAGACTTTGCTATAAGTTCACTGTGCTATCGGGAGAGGTGTGAGGACCAAAAAGGATTCCGGAAACTCCATTATAACAACTTTATTACCCTGTTTCAGAAGCTTACCTGGTTACACTTTATTATGCTCATTTAGTTATACTCTACTACTGGTTTTATTCAACTTGTTAATTCTTCTAATAATTATTTACTGTTATAAGAACTCTAAAAAAAAACTCTATTAAACCCTAGAACTCTATTAAAACTCTACTTTTGTTTTTTTCCCCCTTTTATTACATTTTACATCACTTGAAATCATCAACTGCCCTTTACATTGTAGTGAACATTTCCCAATGAATGGACCACGCAAAACTCTGAACAGCAGAAGGTTCAAGTATAATTGCTTCTGTCAGCAAATCTAATGGGAATCTAATTAACACGATATCACTCACTTCAGCTGTCAAGATATGTTTTGGTGTCCAAATTTTGTTTAGTTTAGTACTGGAGCTAAACAAACAATAGAAGACAATAGTCACCCAAATCTCTTCTGTCAATAGATTCCCATAACATCTCTAAACTGCATCCAGGTCTTCAATAAGACTGCATAGACTAGTCACTGTGGTTTAGGACTCAGTATGACATACTGTGAACTATAAAAATGAGCAAAACTTGACTGTCTAGTTGACGCTGTGCTCGGCCATTTTAGTCAAAGGGTGTTGTGCTAAATTCTGACTTTCCTTCATGTGCACGCACGTCATGCAGGCATGTACCCACTGCAGAGTATGTTTTCACGATTTCTGTTATTTCTATTTATAAATAACTATTCATCTGTAATTTCTGACCGAAGATTTGTTCATAAATAGAAACAGAGATCTAACACCCATGCGCCTACATGACTTCCGCACACACCAGGGGGACTTGGATTCTGTGAGGAGTCAGAATTAAGCACAACACCTGTTGTGTTGTTCATTTTTGTAGTTCACAGTGAGTCATTCTGTGTCTTTAACCAAATCAACAAGTCTCTACTACTGTAATGAAAAGCTGGATGCAGGTACAGAGAAGTTTTGGGGATCTATTTACAAAAAAGATTTGGGTGACTTGACTTCTAGTGTTTGTTAACCATGTTAGCTCCAGCACCAAACTAAAGAAGCAAAATTTAGACAGTAAACATGTCTCGACTCTCTGACCACATCGGGCGCAAGTGGAAAATTGTGCACGATTAATTTTTTGCAGTACCATTCTTTAAAAAATGTTTCTTCCTCCTTCTAGTTACTGTTATTCTCAAAGTTATTTTATGGACTAATTACGTTGACCAGTGTTATTGGTCCATACTGCAGACTGGAGTGCTGCAAGCCTGGTACCTCAGCACCCTCTAGTGGTCCACTGACGGACAAGCAGCATTCTAATGCTTGGCTCAAAACAAAATGAATCTTATTTTACTTTGTTTGGATCCAGAACCCAGTTACTTTATTTTGGTAACAAGACTTCATGACCACTGTGCAGCAAAATATCACACTTCCAAGAACTTAATCAGCCTCCCCATAGTCTTAATTACTCACCTCTCAACCATCCTGGGCAGCACTAGACGAGTCATCTAATGTAAAGAGGAAGAGGAGGAGGAAAAAGAGGAGGAGGAGGAGGAGGAGGAGGAGGAGGAGGAGGAGATGTGAGAAATGAGGCACATACCTTCTGGCTGTTTTAGTTCTCTTCATGCACAATGTACTCTTTGTTTACACGTACAGTACTATGTGAAAATCTTTCGTATCTGAACAAACGAGAAAGCTATTTGTCATTTCCGAAGCCCAGCATTTAAAAAGTTACCATTCAAAAAAAATAAATAAATAAATAAATAAATAAATGGGGTCAAAAAAATTTTCGTTGCATGGTAGCTTCTATCAATCAAACTCACATTTAGCAATAGAAATTTTTGCAATGTATTTGATCGATAAAAAAAAAAAAATTAAAATTTGGCTTCCCTGACTCATAACCTACTGAGAAGGAATTCTGTTTATTTTACTTTTTTGCTTCAATTCATGATTTATTTTTTTGCAAAATACATTTCTGATATAGGTCTTCTAAACATTTCAGATAGCAATAAACAATTTTCCCAACAGTTCACAGGACAAAAGCTGTGTCGACATTCATACAACGATACTGAAAATGTCCATTTCCTTGGCCTCAGGAAACTTTCTGAAGCATTAAAATGTCATTCCCAAAAATCTTGTGGAAGCTGGGAGCTGATGAAAACTACCACTTTCAAGAGAGACGGAAATCAATACTTTTTCATCAAAAATGTGAAAACAGAGAAACTAAAGCAGTTGGAAGCTAATCTGGTCTTGGAGCAACTTTTTATCAGTGCAAATTCAGTAGTTTAAAACCTATTTTTTCCCCCTATATATTTGAGTTTTTCATATTTTGGTAAAGAGTGACCAATCCGCTCAGGTATTTTCATACGGTCCAATCAATTTAAAAAGTTTGGGCACCCCTGATGCAACTGTATTCTGATGTTAAAACTCCTAATAACAAATCCTTTTCCAGTTGATGCTTATTTGCACTTATTTAAATGTTTTATTGTTTTGTTACAGACAAAAACACATTGTTGTGAAACTTTTGCACAGTACTGCAAATAAGTTAATTTGTATTTCTTGTTTTTTTTTTAATCTTTGACCTTTTAAATGCCAGCATGTAAGTCATATCTATGGTTTGTTTAACCCTTTAAAATGCACAGGACATGGACACTGTCCATTCTGCACTCACAGCAGCACAAAACTTTTAACTCTACTGCAGGTTTGTTCTTCGTGTCGAGTACACTGCGTACTTTGAACAACGACAAAGAATGGTTGGTGGAATAAACGGGCAGTTTTACTTTGTCCTGAAGGTGGCAGCAGAGACTGAGGAGTGAACCTAAATGAGATTCACATTTTCCACAGGTGCCCCCAGATTCAGAGGACACTAAGTTTTCCATTAGTTTCAGCACTGAAGAACAAGTCAACAATGAAGTCTATGACACATCAACTATAATCAGGGACAAATAAACACAGTACTGACCTGGCAAACTGAGGTGATGTTGATGTTGATCATCTTCGTGATTAACTGTAATAAGAACAGTTGCATTCCTTTAGGTAAATTTCACCAACACAATGTTAAGAAATACAGAGTAGAACAGAGAAACAGTCGGGGTTAAAGGGAAATTCCAGCAGTTTTTGAAAAATTTCTGCATAAATAAATATTTAAGATGTAAACAAAGTCATTCAGAGTGGTTTGATGTGAAATGCTCTGTACAGAGAAAACAACAGAATTGTGCACGGTGGTGATGACAGGAAGCGGAAAGCATTTAATGCTACATTCGTACAGAATGTTTTTATATGAAACAGATATGAATAGACTGCCTGATGCCTGAGACACTGTTTTCCAATTGTTTTGAGATAAGTTTTTGGTTTACAACTTTTTTTTATTTTTATTTTTTTTTACATTCATGGTGGAGATGTACATGCTGTAATGCAAAATTGATGTTGTAAGGCAAAATAGCCCCCATAGAAAGTATAGAGAACAGCTATATTCACGTTTCAGACATCATAATTCCTGGTTTCCATTATCCCCACTGTAAAGAAATCATTGGTAAACTTCTCTACAATGAACCCTTTCACCCCAAACTACTGGGAAGGATTCTGTTTACACTGTAATGGCTCAACTATGAATGTGAGCTCCACCAATTTCCAATCTGTGGAATTCCCCTTTGAAGCATATATAAAGTGCACTGGCCACTGAACAAACAGAAGGCGTTATAAAAGACACCACTTACATCATCAAGATCTGGTATGTTGAGGAAAAACTCAGGGTAAGAGTAGGAGACTCCAACATTGTTGACTGCAAATAAAATAAAGAAAGTGAACTCAGCATCCAAACAGAGAGAAAAAAAGAAGAGGCTAACACTGATGTATGCAACTGGACCGATGCGTCCACTCGTGTTCAGCTTCGGGTCCAGTAGGTGGCAGCAAACACTAGCACATAGGCAGCATTCATTAAAGAAACACTCCTACTGTACTCAAAATATCCACTACTTTAGAGAAAGAGCAACCAGTTACACAGTCCACGCCCAGAACATTTTGTTCCAAAAACCCAAGTGATACAAAGGCAGTACACAAGACCCATCACGACTACTGAAAGGGCAGAGAATACCACTGACCGGGTGAGATTCGGTGCATTCTGCATGCACTGGAACACAAATGCAACATACCTAGGACTCCTATTTCAAGCCCAGCCAGTCCAGATTCAATCTTGGAATAGATGTCCACAGATCCAAAGTCTGCAGAGATGGTTTTGGATTTGACGTTGTACTTGCTCTCTGAAAAAGAAGAGATTAAAAAACATTGCAGCATGTTAGTGCCTCTGTATAGCAATATGGGCCAAAAGATGACTGTTTTAAGGTGCGAAATACTCTTTTTTTTTTAAATCAGGCTCCTGTTTAAAAATCTAATATGGCAGAAGGGCTGAAATATTAGTGACGTCAGAAGGGAGATCAAGAGGCACTGAAGCAAGGAGGACAAAGCTGCAGTGTCGCCTTCACTGTGTGCTACAGACTTCGCACGAACAAACAGTTCATTGTGTTATAAACAACACTGCAAATTTCAAGAATGGTAATATAATCGAAACCACAAATTAAGCAGGGATAGCATCAGCAAAGTTGTCTTAAAATTGCCCATTTAAGCACTGAGTGGCACTGAATTCTACAATTATGAGCATGACAAGTCCAAATGTCTGAAGAGAAGAATAGGAGCAGACACAGGAAGTGGTCGGAGCATGGGGTGACACGCTACATGACGTAGACAGTCCCCTCAAGCTTCCAGTCTGTCCTTCTCTTGCACAAAAAAAGTGCCAGAAACCCAATAAGAGACAAAGAGGACACTTGGTCTGTCCTTAAATTACCTGTCACTCAAATTAGGAAGTTTGGCCTGAGCCTGTAGGTTAAACTGATACTGTCCCCGTCTATGGGGACTATGAGGCTTCTGAAGGGGGAGGGACTTATTTAAAAAAAAAACAAAAAAAAAAAAACAAATAGCTTGAATGTGCTTCTCCATCAGTGAACACACGCCAACTACACAGAGCTGGGGGGATGGGAAAGAGAGAGAAAAAGCAAGTGAACGAGAGAGAGAAAGAAGGGAGGGGGGTGAGAGAGACTCCATTCACAGACATCAGTCTCCGTTCACAGGCTCTCCCCAGCAGACGCTGTCCTGCTTCATTGAGAGAGATGTGCAGGAGCAGGTGAACTGGCGCATCTCTCACACAGACACACGGCACAGCCAATTAAATACACCATCCGTCGCTACGTCTACCCTGGCGGCTTCAGCAAGCCAGCTGTTTCAGACAAACAGTTAAAACTGTTAAAATGAGATTAAATAACGACCGTAAAAGATCTGGCCGACCACAAGAACAGTCTCCATCAGATAAACAGTAGTTCAAGCTTTCATCTCTGAGAGAGAGAAGAGAATCAAGCTGATTCAGGTCTTCAAAAATCCACAGGTGTTTCCACTGTGATAAGACAGCTCAACACTATGGGTCTGCAAGGATGTGTAGCTGTCAAAAAGGGCAAAAATAGACCAAGAAGAAAAATTAGTGCAAATTAAACCCAGAAGGTGTTGATGTTCTCAGAATAATGGACTGGCCACCCCAGAGTCGAGACCTCGGTATCAACAATGTGTCTGGGACTGCTTGGATCATATACAGTACTAAAGGCAAAAGGGGGACACAATAAACATGAAAACATACATATTACGCTGAATGGTTGAGGCTTCTGTGTAATTTTAATGAAAAACTAAATAACTTGTACTTAATGGCCGCTTTGACTGGACAGTAAACAACTGATTTAATTATGTTGGTCTCTGACTTTCGCACAGTACCGTAGTTTCATTTCACAAGCCTTAAAAAAATAAGGCTTGAGTGTGTGCAGCATTCTGCTGTTATATGTGTCCATCCAGATGACTTCACCCTTAAGATTCTTTTACTATTTTTGTTCTTGAGGAAGCGTCTGAGGAGAGCATGCTTTGACCGTGCTCATCTCACGATCGCATGCAGTACACGTGAGCCAGAGCGAGGAGGTGCCTCACAGCCCATGCTCAAACTTTGCTTCAGCCAATGGTGTTCCAGCCTCCCAAGCCACGCTAAACTCCACGTTCTCTGAGATAAAATAGTATCCCCTTCACTTCACAACATAATAAGAACACTCTGATGCCAAAAAAAGCAACATATGCAAGGGAAACACTGGAAATGAGTGGAGTTATTGTGCAAAGTGCACACATTCACGATGCTTTTGCGACCAGTTGGCGGAATTACTGTCCATTTTCTCCATCGTCCCCTCTGAGACATCCCCTAAGACGCACCTCCATCTGCGTAAAGTCTGTGTCCCTCTCCGTGTTGCAGCAGCAGCAGCGGCGGCGGCGGCGGCAGCAGCCAGGCAACTCAGCTGGCACACAGCCTGCCTTTCAGCACAGCACTAAAAATAGCCCAGTTCATTAACATCCACACTCATTCAGCAGAGGGAGACACTTGCTGCCTCACACACACACAAGCAGCATTTTCCCCTCACGATTCAGCCTCAAACACACACACGCACACCCAGGTACACAGGAGAAACACAGCAACACACACGCATTCACACATGTGCACCACATCATGCCTTCGACACAAATCAAAGTCAGCCAATCACAGCGCTTAGACGTAAAGGAGGGGTTCAAACCCAGCCACCCGTCCACACATTCCTCCAGTCTGTCTACCAGCACAAGCCTTTGTTTAGCTTTTGTCGTGCATCTGTGAAAGCACTTCAAAGCTCCAAAAGGAGGGGGGTATTCCACAGGGGCGTAACAGTTCCCAATATTCATAGCTCAGTTCGAAACGATACAGTGGTATCAATGCTAGGGCTGAGCGATATTTAGATTAATCATGAAAAAATAGGATTATCTAGTACACTGCCACTCATGTAACTGACATTCAGCCATGGAGAGCTAGTCAGAGAGTGCGATACCACTTCTATGCACTGCTTTTTTGTTAACATATTGATTTGAGTATCAGTCGATATCTATTTCTTTAAAAAATGACGACATTTTAAAATGAGCTATTTTTAATTGAAGTAGGCTCTCATGCTCAAAATCACTCTACTCCCCCACTGGAAGAACTACACAGCTTACACCATCACATCACCCAGTGCGAGCGAGTGCTATTTCAGGACAGATTTGTTACAGGATTGAATCAGATGTATACTTTTTTCCCTTTGATATTCAATCCAGCATTTTCTGCTTATATCAGTCTCCATCCAGCGATGCAGGCAACCATGTGACATTTGGCACAATTGCAGCCAAGAGGAGGTCTCAGAACTAAATCACACGGTGCTTAGGACCAATCACAGTCAGAGGGCAGTCTCCAAGCAGACGACACAGTCATGAAGACCAATCACAGTGAGGGAGGAGGAATCAGAACCAACAGCGCAGTGATCTGGACCAATCGCAGGTGATTAGGAGTTCTGTTTAGGAGCCGACGCGCACCACACCGTATAAACTCAAATCACCACATTTTCTCGGTCAAAAAGACATTGAGTGTGTTTACATATCATAATCGGATTTTTTCAGTTATCCGATTTTTCAAGTTGTCTTGTAAACAGCACATGAAGCCTGTTATTGGATTTCTAGAAATTTGATAAGCAGAGCCGGAATTTAGCTCAGTAATCAGCTTTTTCAGAGTGTTACTCTGATTTATTTTGGGTTTTTTTTTTTTTTTCACAGTCTGAAAACGAGAGCTGTCCCTGAAACAGCAAGCAGCGTTTAACACAGCGCCCGCAAGACGGCCACAAAACATTTGGAGCGACCAACTACGAGCTTGACAAAATGAAGAATCTGAACATTCTTTATCTTCTAAATGATGTACACTCATATTTTCTGGTAAAGTGACTCCATGTTTTAAGAAAAGGCATGGTGAGACAGTTAAGCTTTACTTCACGTCACAACTTATTTTGGGAATTTATTGGCTGTTTGCAAAGCAAAAATGTGATGATTGTCTGACCCATGCAGATCCAGAGTTTTCCCAATTATCTCACCCAACTGAACTGCTGTTATAGCAACATTATTAGACATTATTGGATACTGCACTTTGGCTAGCATTGGGCTAAGTGAAGGGGGAGAAGAAGGACCAGACATGCTCTCTCGGACTATTATGGATGGCTGTGGCATTGCCTGGGATCAAACTTGTGATCTCCCGACTGATCTTTTTTCCCCCCAACATGTACCATCATTGCCTGTCAAGTAAAAGAATCAGTTTCACTCCAACATTATAAAAGTACAATATCTGAGACTTTAGAAAGGCTTATGGACTATGTACTTATTTGTCAATTTTATTATACCTTAAGCAATATGAGCAACGTATTTTAAAATGTGCAATTTATTTGCGCAAATGTTGTGTAACACCCTTACAATCCCACAGTCCTGTGCACTCTTATCCACAGGCTGAACATCCACAGGATAATAAAATCCATCATGATTGTTATGTGCGTACTCTTTTACAGTTTAAGTGAAGTGAGTAACCCTGTAGTGTCGCACAGAAAAATCTTTCTGTATGGTAAAATGTTTTTCTCTTAAAAGGACGCCGAGTCTTGTTAAGTGAAAGAGGGACTGTACAGTACTCCATGCTCTAAAAGAGTCTTGGTCAGTATATCAGTTGATGTTGAGGGTGTGCAGATTTAAAGCTATTGGCAAAAATCGGTCACCACTGTTCACTTCTACTACAGCTAGGGTTGTGCAATATCCACTTGTTTCATAGCTCAAAAGCGTTGTATGTGATGTAAATCATTTATGTCCCTTTTGTGCCATCTTGTCCCGCGTTATTTCAACATCAAAAATAATCCACAAGTTTGATTCACCACCAAATAAGTGAATGTACTGCAGAACTTCCAAGCCCTGATTCAATAAATGTCAAAAGCCAACCATCTAACAACTGCTACATGTTAAACAGTGAGGGATATTGTGGTTAACATTAGCTTAGCTGGCACAATAACAGCTCTGCTCACCACAGAATATGTTCTACTCTGGCTAACTAAAGCACTGAAAGTTTAGACGATAGTCTGAGGGAAAGAACTCGAGCAACTGGTGGGAAAGAATACACAGTCGAAACTAAACCTGTTCCGTGTCGTTTGGATTGGCTAATTTAAAGTTAGCAAGCAGGCCACACACCACAGTGCAGGTTTGATTATGAAATGCTGCTCTGCTAAAACAAGCGTAGATAAAAACTGATGTCATCCAGAGCAAAAGTCGAGTGACCGGTGTTGGAGGGACAGAAAGACAAACTGAACCTGTTCTATGCTTTAGGACTGTAGCATTTTGGCTAAGCTAACGATAGCTTAACTAGCAGTTCAAACGTGCCACACACCACAGCACAGGCCTGGTTCCAGCTAACTGATGCCAAAATGACCCTTGTTGGGGATATCTGAGAGCGCAGAGTTGAGTGACTGGCGTTAGAGAGAAAGCTGAAATCGAACGTGTTCTGTGGTGAGTGGACCTGTTAGCCATTGCTGAGCTGCTGTCATACTCTGTTTTTCTGAGGTTTTCCTGGCTCTGATTTCCCCTCTTTTCATCAATGCCAACTACTGTTTCCCACATCAGTGAGCTAAAATATAGATGGGTGTAATAGGATTGGTTATAATTGTTTATATTAATATTTAATGAAGTATATATTTTGACCAAAATAAACTCTAAAATCAGCTGTTCTCTATAACACACTTCCTTAATAAGCGTACAGAAAATGGTAGGACATATGAGTGAAATGCTCATGAATGAAGGTGAAGGAGTCATTAACCGAGAGTCCACTCCACACAGAGCAGACCAAAGGTTCAAGGAACGTACCGATAGCTTTGGCCACCTCGTCCAACTTCTCCTGAGTACGACTTATGAGGACGATGGAAAAGCCTCGGCGAGCAAGCTGAGAGAGAGAGAGAGAGAGAGAGAGAGAGAGAGAGAGAGAGAGAGAGAGAGAGAGAGAGAGAGAGAGAGAGAGAGAGACAATCAATCATGTATGTGTATTACCTATAACAAAATGTATAGTGCATGTAAAAAGTGCATATTTATAGAACTCCACAAAACATTTTAATGCTGCTTTTAAAGAATCAGACCATCATATGAATCATTCCAGTGAAACACTAATGAACCTGAGCGCTGAAGTGTACTGGGCTATAAAGGGCTTCTCGAAGTGGTACAAAATCTAAGAATTTTCTAGGAACTACTTTTGCCCTAATAGCGGTCAAAACATGGGGCTAGGTCTACGAATAAGCAGCAGTGTTGATGGCTTGCCGGTGAGTCTGCCACATGAGGTATGCCTTTGAGAGTGGAGTCCGGAGTCCTCCCCTGATCTCTCACTAAGACCTCTCCACTGATGACTCATTGTGATTTCCGTGAAGTGGAAAAAAGAGAAAGAGAGAGAGAGAGAGGGGAAAAAAAAAAAAGAAAAGAATAAAACCCCCTGGAATCTTACCTCCTCCGCATAGGCTTTCCCGATTCCATCTGTGGCCCCAGTTACAACTGCGGGGAGAAAGAAAGAGGTAAAGGTTAGTGAGGAGAAACAAGGCATTAAGAACTTACAGCAGCACATCAGTGCAGACTTAACCACCATGGAAAACCCTATACTGTCCCATCCACTCCATCACTGATAGCTAATGCAGATTTACAGTAACAACCATAGAGAAGTAGAGGACTTTAAGTCCACTAGTGCATCATGATACAGGACACACATCCCGATATGTGCCTTCAGATTTAAAAACTGCTATCTAAAACTATAAATACTACGAATATTATCCAACATTTTTATAGTCTGTGCTGCACTAAATTCAAACTGGAGTAATTCTGTTTTTATTTTTAATGAAACATGCAATGGGTCAGTAGGTGCACTTTGTAGTTCTACAATTACAGACTGTAGTCCATCTGTTTCTCTGCATACTTTGTTAGCCCCCTTTTACCCTGTTCTTCAGTGGTCAGGACCCCCATGGACCCTCACAGAGCAGGTACTATTTGGTTGGTGGATCATTCTCAGCACTGCAGTGACACTGACGTGGTGGTGGTGGTGTGTTAGTGTGTGTTGTGCTGGTATGAGTGGATTTTTGGTTGATGGACTATTCTCAGTCCAGCAGTGACACTGAGATGTTTAAAACTCCACCAGCACTGCTGTGTCTGATCCACTCAGACCAGCGCAACACACACTAACACACCACTGCAGTAACATCAGTGTTACTGCAGTGCTGAGAAAGATCCACCAAATAGTATCTGCTCTGTGAGGGTCCATGGGGGTCCTGACCACTGAAGAACAGGGTAAAAGGGGGGCTAACAAAGTATGCAGAGAAACAGATGGACTACAGTCTGTAATTGTAGAACTACAAAGTGCTGCAATGGCTGCACTGTTAGTCGGTGGAGGTACAGCAGGACGAAGAGTGCGTTCCTCTGCCCCTCTTGCCCGGGCGTCCTCACCTCACCAAGACAACAGGGCTATTTTAAGCCGTTTGGTACATCAAACCCCCCCACCACTCTCAGCTCACCTCTTTGTAAAAATAGCTGGGAGGAAGGCATGAAGGAAGATGGCCTGCATCACATTTATAGAAAGAGCAAGAAAAGCCCCCGATTCGTGATCAGCATTGTGCGGTCATTGGGGGCATAGCCCTCACAGCGCCACCCTTGACCTTGGTATGGCTGGTGTCAGAGGAGGCAGCGCTGATTAAAGATTTACATGAGCAGCCTCCTGCATCCAGTGAGTGGGTGCAAAGAGAAGAGAGAGATAGAGAGATAGAGAGAGAGAGAGAGAGAGAAGAAAAAGGGGAGGGAGGGAGGATGACGAACAATAAGACAGCATGAGGGCGGGGCGAGTGAGGACTGATCCTGGGGGCAGCTAAAAATAGAAAGGAAGAGTGAAAGGCAAGCAGCGAGTGGAGAGTATAGTCGTGGGGGGAGCGACACACAGTTAGAGGCGAGGGAGACATTTTTTCAGTTATTTTTAAGCATATTTACAACACCTGACTCTAAAAGAGACCAGAATTAAAAACAAATTACTCAATGGGCGAGAGACTCTGGAAATATACTGAATGGGTGAGAAGCTCGCACTGACGGCCAAAGTGTTTCCACGTCAATAACGTGCCATAAAAACGGCCACAGCAAGCGCAGAAAATGAAAGTCAACGACCGCCACCCTGTTCACTGACAGGCTGCTGTAGAAAGACTCGGACGGCTCGAGCGCATCGCTCATCAGCGCGTGTGATGTTAATTTTGCTCAGCAGAGTTTCAGGCCTGCCCTGCAACCTCCACTTTTCCATTCAGAGGATGTGGGGAGAGTCATCATTCACATCAGTGCAGAATCTGCAGAGGGGGAAGAAGAGGGTGGGGTGTCTGGCTTTGAACCATTTTATGAACTCGCTTCTTTTAGCTTGAGCTATATTTAGAAGGGCATTCCACACCGCGATCAGAACTGATTAGAGAAATAAAACGTGTTTTCCGTTATACAGCAGCTGTTAATCTTCCCAAAATCTGTTACGAACAGAATGAAACTATTCCGATATTTTTCTCTTTATAAAATACTGTGCAAATGTCAGAGACCACCGTTCATTTATTTTATTTTCAATAAAAAAAACAGGCATTAAAAGTACAAGTTATTATTTTTTTTGAGAATTTCCTGAATAGGATGAGGAAAGCAAAGGAAAACTAGTGATCTCAGAACAAGGGACGGTCAACCTCACCTTCTACTTACTGTTCATTTCGAATGGAAATGAAATAAATGAATGCTAGTCTCTAAATTTTGCACTGTACTGTATGCAAAGACACTGCAACAGGGGGTCTCATCTAGCTACACACAGAGTTCCCATGTGTACCAGTTTTACTGTGAAGGGCATAATTAATCCTTCTCAGATGCACAGCCTGAATGACACCTTTCACAGAAAGCTGACACACTGAAGGTGAATGAAGAATTTTTGGTGCCATCACTTCCTCTTCTTTAGAAACTGCAACCTACAGACTGAAATGCAGGAATCTGGTCAACTGAAACATGATCTTATGAGAGTGAGGACGCCCCCTCTCCGGCGCATGCTGCTGCTGCTGCTGCTGCCGCAAAATATTCTGTGGGGCTAAAAAAAGAACTAGAGATTAAAAATACCAGGCAGGCGCTGCAGCCTCGTCTGGAACAGCTGCAGCGCTTGAATACAAACGAGTCTCCACTCTCCTCCGACACCGCACTGGGGCACGGCAGCCGGGCCAAGCATGCAGCTGTGCAGCCAGCATCGATGCATGCTGGCTGCACATTTGGCCCGGCTTCCATCACCACAGACAATAATTCCAACGTTTCCCTTCACTAAGAAAACAGCAGAAAACCTGTTGAATAGAAACTCACATATAGTAAAAGGGCACTGGGCAGTCGCTGAATTGCTCCTGTAAACATTTACTTTCATGAATTCAAGCATTTAAAAATTAAGCTGTAAACCTGACCAGTGTGCTCTGGGACTAGTTTTCCAGAAGGAAGAATCTGTGGTAATACGTTACCAGTGTAGTAGTGAGGAGTGTTCACAGACTCACTGCACAGACAGCAGAAAAAAGTGAAGGTAACTGGAACTTCCCTTTCACTGTGTGGTTTCAATTTTCTAACGCTGGATAAAACATCATAAGAACAGCTTTGGTAAGACATTATGTCTTAACCTGTAGTGGCTGTAGTTTCAAACTCATTTTATACAGTCAAATACAGTCGTAAGCAAAGCTTTGAGTGCCCCTAGTCAAATAACATGTATCGTTGATTTTCTGATTGAAAACCAGTTAAAACATCCTCTATAAAGAACAAACTTCTGCACATTTTAAAGCACAATTACTGTTTTTTTTTTTGCTGAATGCATCATTTGGAAAAAAAAAATAAAACATTCATATTCATATACATTTTCAATATGTTCAACTCAGCAAATAAATATAAATTGTGCACTAAGTTTAAGTTTGCTCCCTGTGGAGAATATATTCACTTATTTTCACTTAGAAAAAAGAAACATGTAAATTGACCAAGGGATTCATTCGTTTGCCTACTTTTGCAAACGTTTATTCAAGGAATTCAGCGACTGCCCACTGGCATCTATTCAGTGGGATTCAAGTTTAAACAGGGAAATGTGTTGAAATTATTACCTGTGGTCATCAACATTAGGTTGATATGAGGTTGAAAACCACTGGTGCAAGGCCATAACAGCAAATTAGGGTTGAAGTGTTAAGGCTAGTTCATGTAAAAATGATGGCAAGCTTAAAAAAAAAACAAAAAACAAACAAAAAAAAACACAGGTATAATAATGTGGTGTAAAAAATTTAATCCAAGCTAGCTCGATTTTCTGTGCTGTACAGCAAGTTAAAAATCAGGCTAACCAGAGCTCTGTTGTCATTACTCCAATCCAAGCAAATGACAAGCCCTACTCTGACTAAAAAATACAGAGGTAAAAGAAAATAAGTGGTCTATCAAACGTGAAAAGCTGGGGAATAACGGCGAGCACTTTAGTGCAACCTACAGACTGTTTATAGCCTTTTTTGTTCGTCAAAATCATGAATGATGAGTGAGTTTTTGTAGACTGCATGACAGTGTGTGCACTTTTTAGTTCCATCGTCGCTGCTACTCGAGAAATACATTTTTCCTTCCTGGCTTCTTAGTGTGTTTAGAAAACCGCATTGAACTTGATGTGAAGATTCCACTGCGTTAAAAATCGCATCCTTTTGTGTGTCTGAAACATTGAATATGGTGTAAATACGACTTCAGTCAGCAAAGCTAATGAGTCATCAACAATGTCAATTATAGAAAACAAACTATTTCAACAATCAGTGTCGAAGCTACTGAAAAAAGCTCTCTACAATCCTCTATAATGCTTATATAACACTCATTATCTATCACTGATAGGAACAGTGGAGGGTGATACTGTTTCATGGCACCATAAAAAGACATTACTAATGGTACAGAAGGAAAGACAGTGGTGCTTTTATGGGGGAAAAGTGAGAAAAAACAGGAAAAGGCATAGATGGATCAGTCAATTAAATGAACAGCGGAATCAGTTCTAGAAATAATCGTTGCAGCACTACAAATATCACCGTGTTTTCAGTGTGTCATGCTCAGACAGTACCATTCACCACAAAACATTACAGATGTTCTATAGTGAACCTGTTCTACAAATGGAGCTGTTGTTCTATTCATGCGCGATTCCGAGTCCATTTCATACACAGAGGGCTGTGACAAACATAGTCTGACCTCTATGGTTTAAAATAAATAAATTAATAAATAAATAAAAAACATAAACACTCTTTACATGCGCTGTTCACGTGGGCTCCATCATCTTCTCCTCCGACACTACGATCCTCCCCTTACTCGGAAAACTTTTGAGAGAGAGAGCGAGAGAGAGACAGAGAGAGAGAGAGGGAGAAAAACAAAGAGAGTGAGAGCGAGAGAGAAAGAGAGAGAGTGAGAGCGAGAGCGAGTGCCATCCCTCGCTGCCCTTGGACGTTCCCGTGTATGCAGTATTATGTAATCGCACACCCCTC